ATGTTTTCACATCGTACCGCATGGTTTCTTAGTAAGGTGACCTGTTGGTGTTGACGGTGGCCTTGTGTGAGCGGCAGCCATCTTGGTTGCCGACCACCTTGCGAAGGCAAAGACAAAAACACTCCAAAACCCAGAATAATAACGAAAACAACAACTATAAATTACTCACGTAAAAGGTAGACACACAGCTATATATACAGCTGTGTAGAAACACGGGCGCACAACGAGCGCAAAAACGCAAAACAGGCAGAAAATCGGGGAGCGCTGAAAAGCACCGCGTTCACCCGATTGTATTATATTATATTATATTATAGACATCAACATGTTGAACACATTGTATGTTTACATGCAATTCAAACATCTGCTGTGCAATGACTCTTGTACTTGCTGAATGTCACATGCAGAAATTAATTAAATCTGCCAGTGAGGATACTCCTGATGAATGCATTAACTGCTTAAATCAACTGTAAAATCCACTGTCATCAGTCAATCACTCATTTAATCACTATATATGGAGTGTGTAAGTTAATTACCTTTCTTGATGGTGGCATCAAGTCAATGTAGAAATGTGGACTGATGGCTGAAAACATTCCACCAAATGTGGCATCTTCAATGATTTCTTCATCTGATACCACATGCTTGTCTAGCGCCCTCAACGACCAAATGCTATTATGTAGAAAAAACATATAGTAGAGAATCAATCTGATGTATTTTATAACAAGCCATGCATGGCACAGTCCCTGTCAGTTATCAAATTTAAGATATATAGTTTTGTTTATAGTAATACAACCAGGTAGGCTGACTGACGATCCACTCTGCTCAAAATACAAACAATGACATGAACGTGAAGCGAACGTTTGTTTATAACTAAAACCGGAGACCCGTATTTAAAGTTCACAAAGAGCAATCAATCTTCTGAAGACACTTTATTAGTAGCGCATCACTTTTTATTTCAGATCGTTTTGTATTTTCTAGATTCTTTACAGCATTTACAGTTCACTAAAGTTCAAAGTTGCACAGGGACTTACATTGATACAGTATAACAATGTTGGCGTTGGCAGTCTCTCGTCGATGCGCAATTTAGCCAAAATAAAATCTGAACACTGCTATTACAAGACTGGTAGGAAGTGATACATTTGGAGTGAAAGTATTCAAAAATCATTTTTTTGCCTGTTGCCATGGCAACAGTGGGCCAGGATTTTTCCCCACATTTTACCACACAACTGCAGTGACAGTATGACCTGCCTTGTACGAACAAAATCAGCCCAGCCAAAAAATTACTGCAGAAATAATACGTGAAAAGTCACTGAAAATAACACACAGACACACACATACATACACACATAGACGCATGCACAGAGGTCAATCCACAAGTCCCTGTTTTCGGACTGCGGTCGAACAGGGACAAAAATGGTGAAAGCTACAAGGACTGATAAATATAAGATATAGTAATATAACTAGACTATTCAGAAAAAGTATCTTTCCTTAATGATAGATATGAATAGAGCATCATCTCATTAAAATTCATAATATTCTGATCACACCTTCCAATGCTTTCAATGACTACACTAATCTGTATCAGGTATTGTTTGAGTGTTCAATAGTTTCAAGTCTTGGAATGAATAATTCATGAAACTAAATCTTGGGCTATGATTATAAGCGCTAGTCAAAATCTTACTTTAAAACAAGGGATTTAGCATGGGTAGACTTAGAGGGGAACACATCCAGCATACCAAATATTTTAAAGACTACTTATCAACAGTGACAGTGAGAAAGACAACCCTCATTAAATATATCTCTTCTAAAATATTGAGAAAGCTTCATTATTCACTGTGTTATATTTTTGATTACTTTGCATATAATATGCAAAATAAAGCAGTGAATATAAAACTTGAGGTAGGGGTCTAATGTCATCAGTGACTGGAATAAAGATGACACTCATTATATACCATTATATTTCTTATAATCTTAGTATATTGTGAAAGCTTAATTATTCATAGTGTTATATGTTTTAAATTATTTTGCATAAGTATATGCAAAATAAACCAGTGAATGAAGGGTTTTCATGAGAAAGCAGTGAATATAACACCTAATGCATGTCCCTGTAACATAAAATTTGCAAAAATTAAGCCTAGTGAATATTTCTCTTTTAGAGAATATCACCCTCTATAGTTGTAGTTTTAGGTAGTCATGATAGTGCTTTGTTTAGTCACAGGGAGTTAAAAAATTACAATTTTTGTTTTATTATATATATTTGTTCATTATTTCATTGGCCCCACTACATAAACAGTTACACAGGTCATTCACAATAGTTGTGTTCAGGATACACTAAGTACAGGCTAGGATTTAAGGTATTGTTGATCCTTTCCGCTAGGATTGCCCTTTAAAATCACTTCTTGGTGATCCGCCTTGATAGGATTGCCCTTGGCAACAGCCAAAAAACTGATTTTTGAATAGCTTCGCACTGAATGTATCTCCTCCCACAAATTTTCGGACATAGCTAATTCTACTTGACTTGAGGGTGGGCAGAAAATTACTGTTTTTTTTTTATATCTTTTTTTCATTACTGAGCAATTTTACCTAAAAGTAGGTGTAACCTTTCACCGAGAACAGCTTTTTAACTCTTCTGTGATTTTTATGGCGGGCCAATTTAGTCCATACTTAGTAGGCAGGATATACCTTTACTCTAGTTGGGTGGTAAAATCTGAAGAAAAAAATACTAGCCTACTGTTGCCATGACAACTGTTTTTTGAATACTTTCACAATTGTATCACCTCCTACCAGTCTTGTAATAGCAGTGTTCAAACGATCATACTTTTGATTATGGCCAAGTTGTGCACCGGTGCAAGATCAACTGTGCCGAAATCCCAACGCAACTTTGAATTTTGAATGAAGTGTAAATGCTGTGTTCTATCAAAGAATCTAGAAAATACAATCGCAAAACGATTGGAAAATAAAAAAATTGTCATCTTATTGAAATATAATAACGTGCATAAATAAAATAACGATAACAGCAAAAGATGCGCTAGTAATAAAGTGAAGTGACTTCAGAAGAATGTTTGCTCTTTGACTTCATATAATTGTAAATA